TTGTCCTCACTGCAGCCAAGCACTTGTTTTCGCATTTGCCAACACCCTGGGCAGACACCAAGTCCTCTCGGTCTGCAATACCCAGGCTGGCTCTGGGATGACCCCCTGCTACCCAACCAGCAAGTGGCTCTCGGAGCGTCGCCTTCTAAGACGAGCCTCGCCCACTTCCTCCTCCGCCAGCCATAGATGGGCAGCTTTTACTGGAGCCCGATGTTGAGAAATGAACACGTTTTAAGAGCCCCAGAGCTCTGTGTACACCAGGACCATGGCAGATGTAAACTCGGCAGCCTCTCGTCTCCAGCCAGATAAACTTCAGGCTTTCAGGGCGAGGCGCTGCCCCCCCACCCCACTCTCTCAGTGTTTAAACATGTCGTCAGCAGCCCGGCTCTGGGGCCGCCTCTCCCTCTCCCAGCCGAGGTCTCAAATGCTGGGCCACTGGTGCCCAGGCCAAGGGTTCATCTCCTAAAGGGGCTGGCTGGGACCCTCTGGTTTATGGACAAAGAGGGGCTATCTATGAGGAATAGATCCAGCAATGCTATGGAGACCCTGATATCCTCCTCCAAAGCCCTGCTCAACTTACGAAGAGATTTTTTTGTTTTGTTTTTTGGTTTTGTTTTGTTTTGTTTTAGTTTTCGTAGTGACAGGGTCTCACTATGTTGCCCAGGCTAGTGAGATGTTCTTTTACTTTAAGCTTTAGGGCCTATGAAAATAAGAATGCTACCCCTTCGCCCCTGACAGGGTGATATTTTAAGCTTTACTCATCATTTGTCATTCATTTCTTCTTCTGACATTTCTTGAGCACCTACTATGTGCCAGTGGGCCAGGCATTTTTCTGCCCTGCCCACTCGAAGGTGCCTAAAATCCCACCATTAGTTTAAAACTTTCATATCTGTGTCTATGTTAAATAGATCTAAATAGATTATATATATATACACATATGGTTCCGCATCCCTCACACAAGTCAGATTTTCAATTTTATGTATCATTTCCAATCAGCCAACATTTACAGGACATTGACGAGGGGCTGGTCACTGTCCCAGATGCTGGACATAAACAAGACACTATCCAGGCCCTGAGGAGCCCCCCATCGGTGTGACAGGGAGGCGACCAGACAGGTGGCTCTGATGGGCCTCCGGAGAGAAGAGGCGAACAGACCAATAGACGTTGTGCAGAACAGGGGGAAGCCGCCAGGGATGTGGCCCCCCTCGCTGGGGATGGGACCTGGCCACACCCTTCCCCTCTGGGGGCTTCCACCAAGTGAGGAATTTTAAAGAAAAAGCAAAGCCAGGTTAACAACTACCATCTGCCATCACCATTATTTCACAAAAGGACATTTTACCCCCAAAAGCAGGAAGCTCATAGTCCTAGAATGAAGAATGATCCTTTAAACTGGCTTCACTTAGCTGGATAAAAAGCACACTACATTGTCCTTGTCCTCTGCCACCTCCTGGCACCACTCTGGCAACTAGGCGGCCCACAGAGCTGATGTTCCGTCATGCTGTATTTGACCCACTGGAGCCAGGACCCGGAGCAGCCTCCAGGCCAGACACACAGTCAGGCAACTTCTAAAGGCATCTCGCAGACACCAAAGGGGCACCAAACCCACAGTGCTTCCTGGAGCCCCCTTTCCTCCCACTCACTCCCCTCACATCCCCCAGCTCCTCCCACCTTTTTCTCCTCCAAACTCCCTGAAAAATAATCCTGTCCCCAACCCGAGTCTCCAGGCGTCTAGCCCGGAGGTCACAGCACCAGCAATCGGCCAGGCGCACTTGTGAGCACACGCCCCATCTGCAGGGGGTGCAGCTGTTCTGCCAGGGCGGATGCTGTCCTGTACCTCCCAGACCCCCCTTCAAGCTACCAAGTGTGCTGTCCCCCCTGCAGGCCTGCCCTCAGCTGCAGAGAGCTGCCTTGACAACAGTCACGCCCCTCCTTGGGGTGCCCCACATCCAATGACCAATGTGAAGGCATAAAGGCCTGGCTACTTTTGCCCAACCAAGGACCATTCTAGTTCCAAGCGACCACGGGGCCATGCCAGGCTGCTGTGGGGCCGGCATCGCAGCTCCACATCTTCGTCCATCCGCTTTTGCTTCCTTCCCTGCCCTCCCCAGGCGTCGACTCCAGTGGCAGCTCCCTGCTCAACAGCCTGCTTCCTGGAGGTGCCCAACCTGCACCGTCGGCTCAGCAATCCTGGCCGCGACCCGTGGGCAGCCTTTCCCCTCCATTTCCTGCCTCACTGGGACGTCCCACACACAAACTCTGATGAGCAAACCTTCCAGTCTTGCTGTGTCCATAGGAGCTGTAGGAATTTAGAATATTTCTTTCTCTTTAGTGAAGACCAGCCTTCAAGGCCACCGTCTAGCTGTGGACCCAGAAGGCCAGCTCTGCGCAGCAAAGCTGATCACTAACCCCCCTGTCCTGGGCGGCCCCCACCCTCTCCTTCCACAGGGCTGCAAGCCTCCTGGCACATAGTTGGAAAGCTGCAAGAGCTATGATTTAAGGAGGAAATAAAAACTCAGATTTAATAGCTCTAAAATATAATCTCCATTACATACACAGTGGAGGCGGTGGGATGTTGGGGGTGGTGTCAGGGAACTTGTACTATCCTGGGCTTCTATGATGGGTGACGCCCTCTCAGGCACCCCAGCCCTGCACTGTGTTTGCACCTAAAGCTCGACAAATTCCAGATGCCCGGGAGTAGGAGACCAGGACCGAAGAGAGAAGGCCGTCTTGTGTATGCATTCTTATTTCTACACATCTCGCCCTCTAGGATGCCGGCCAAATGAGCATGAGACAGAAACAAGCCCCAAAGTCCTGCTGCTGCTGCTGCTGCCACTGAAAGATCAAAAACAGACACCCTTCAGCAAGGGACCAAGGTCCAAACAGACGATGGTGGCCCGCTCCAGAGAGGAAAAAGGTGTCTGCCCCATGGCTGGGCCAGGGCTGGAGCCAGTTCTGTCTGGAGCTGGCTCTGGGAGGGCAAGAGTCCCAGGGACCCCCAGTACATGCACCTACAGCAGGGTCAGGGGCCCAGGAAGCACCCCCTTTCCAAGGGCAAGGGCGGGATTCCCACTAGATCTAGCACGTCAGTGCAGCAGGGACTCCAAACAATAGATGTAATCTCAATATTGATCATTGATGAAATTATCCAGAAGTTCATGATCAGAAAAACCTAGAAAGAAGCTCTTTTGATTTCAGGATACATTTAAGTTTCCTGAATTACAGCTTAGCATTGTTTCCATTTTGGATTCCACAGGCAGCCTACTCTTTTCAACACTGGAAACCTTTAAAGGGCTTTCCCAGCTCGGCCAGGGAGGCGGGAGGCCACGGGTGGGAAATGACGCACGGGGCACAAGCAGGAGAGCGGCTGGCGGGAGAGGGCACGGCCGTGAGCAACCCAGGCTGTGCCAGGCAGAGCCTCGGGGGCCCGGAGGCCACTGTGCGGGGCTTGCTGGTGAATGAGAGCCCGCCTCTGCCTTAACCAGGGACATGCCAAGCCCTTCTGAGACCGCCCTGCCTTCAGGGCACACACACCGCAGGTGTGCACGGGTTCACGCATGGCTGTGAGCTCACACGCGTCAGCCACACACACAGAGACTCGGAAACATCATCGCGGCTTCGCACACATGCACACAGTCAATGACCGAGAGCAGATCTGTCTTTGGGCAAAGCGGGAACAGCTTCTCAGGGGTTAAAACTCCGGCCTTGCTGGGGTTCACAGAAGAGGCAGCAAAGCCCTGTTCTTGTCCCAAGACAGTGGTTCTCAAAGTGAGGTCCCTGGGCCAGTAGCATCAGCAGCACCTGGGAACTCGTTAGAAACTCAGTATTAAATCGGAACTAATCAATTAACAGTTATGTAAACATATGGAAATAAAACTCATAGGAAATCAAGCAGGTGGGCAGGGAGGAGGGCATGGTTAAACTCACACTAATGGGTACGATGCACACTGTCTGGGTGATGGGCACACTTATAACTTTGACTCAAACTGTACGAAAGCAATTTATGTAACCAAAACGTGTATACCCCCATAATACTCTGAAATTTAAAAAAAGAAAACGAAAAAAAAATTCTCTGGGTTCTTGGCCAAGTACAGTCAGTGGCTCACACCTGTAATCCCAGCATTTTGGGAGGCTGAGATGGGAGGATTGCTTGAGGCCAGGAGTTTGAGACCAGCCTGAGCAACATAGTGAGACTCCTGTCTCTACAAAAAATAAAAAAATTAGTTGGGCGTGATGTTGTGGGCCTGTTAGTCCCAGATACTCGGGAGGCTGAGGCAGGAGGATCGCTTGAGCCCAGGGGTTGGAGGCTGCACTGAGCTAGGCTGATGCCAATGCACTCCAGCCCGGGCAACAGAACGAGCCCTTTCTCAAAAAAAAAAAAAAAAAAAAAATTCTCTGGGTTCTGTCTTCTCTCTCCTACAGAGCCCCGAGCTATTTAGCAGGGCCTCCCTTGGGGCCACAAATCCTGTCATGGTTTTTATGTGCCAACCCCTGTGCTAAATATATGCACATCATCTCATTTGAAACTCACAAATGTTCCGTGAGATGTACACCATTTTTGCCCTATATTTTTCAGATGGGGTAGCCAGAGCTCAGAAAGGTTAAGAGATTCACCTGGAGTCACCGAGCCAACCTCCAACTCAGTCTGAGCTCAGAATCACTGTTTAGACGTAGCTCCTGCCCCGGGCTGAAAGTAAACACCCGCCAAAGACTGTGCCCTGCATGCCAGCCCCACTTCCCTGGTCTCTCCCTGCTGCAGCTGCCAATCCTAAATCTTTTGGGGAGACAAGGCCGAGCCATCCAAGCAGGGGGTGGGACAAGGGGCGGGAGCCTAAGCCCCACCTCCTGAGTAGGCAGCGCCTCTGCCAAGGCCTTGCCTGCCCTGCACGGAGAGCAGCAGGGAAGCAGCGGCCCAGGGCTGGCAGCTGGCAGAGTCGCAAGCACGTCGTGGCCCCCAGCCCGTCCTGCGTCCCAAATCCTGGAGAGACAGCTGCTGCGCAGTCGACCTGTGGGATCCCGCTGCACGATCCTGTGATCCAGAATGTTCCCTGCGTTGCATTAGGAGGGACCTGGGTTCAAGTCCTGACTTGTCACCGACTTACTGAGTGACCCGGGCTGGTCACGTCCCCTCTTGCAGTCTTCCATCTCTTCAGGGAAGGGGTTGAACCAATGATTTATAAGGATGTTTCCTGCTCTGACGCTGTGATTTGAGTTCTAGATTTCCACGTGACATTCGAGAAGTCTGGCTGGGATGAGGAATCTGAAATGACAATGGCTCTGGACTGGACTTTCTGCTCAGCCTAGCTCATCTCCACTTGAGACTTAGTGTGGCCCAGCCCCCTGGACCACCTCGCTTTGCGTCTACTCCTCTCCCCGACCCCCACACGCACTCGCACCGGAGGGGCTTTCTCTTCCACAGCAAAGCCGGGAGAAGCCTTGGATCCAGACCCCTTGTCCCAGACACAGAGGTAGCCATGGGGGACTGTGCCATTGTGACCGACACCAACAGCTCGTCTGGCCTTGAGAGCAACACCACGGGCATCACGTCCTTCTCCATGCCCGGCTGGCAGCTGGCACTGTGGGCCGCAGCCTACCTGGCCCTGGTGCTGGTAGCTGTGACGGGCAATGCCACGGTCATCTGGATTATCCTGGCCCATCGGAGGATGCGCACGGTCACCAACTACTTCATCGTCAACCTGGCTCTGGCCGACCTCTGCATGGCTGCCTTTAACGCTGCCTTCAACTTCGTCTACGCCAGCCACAACATCTGGTACTTCGGCCGCGCCTTCTGCTACTTCCAGAACCTCTTCCCCATCACAGCCATGTTCGTCAGCATCTACTCCATGACCGCCATTGCCGCTGACAGGCAAGAGGGGCTGCGGGGGAGCTCGGGGGAGCCCTCTCACTTTGCTGGGGCTCGGAAGGGGTGGCACGTGCCCGTGGTTGCACAGAAAGTTAGGGTAGAACCCAGGGAACAGCCTCCCAGACCTGGCCATGATCCAAAACTATGTATCTGGAGGACAAGGGGTCCGTGGACCGAACGAAGTGGGCAGAGTAAGGTTAGACTCAAGAAAAGACTTTGCACTGGACGGGTGGTTCAAGGCTGTGAAAGAAGAGGGGCTGTGTTTTAGGGACATTCTGGAGTGCTCTTCTGGTGGTTGATCTTTGTTGTGAGGTCTTTCTTTCACTACAAGGAGATTTCTTATATTGCTTTCCTATTCCAGAGAGATTATAAGAGGGGAGAATTTTAATATTGCATGCGGTCACCATCTAATTATAGTAGGGCCGCTTATTTTCTCACTGCTCAGAGCTGAGCTTCAGGCTAACCTCAGACACTCAGTCCTGCCCCAAGATGGACTTCCCTGTGGCTATCCGAGAGCATTCCATGCCCAGAGGGAGGTGGTGGGCTGAGGTGCCTGGGCTGGGTTCTGGGGTTCTAGCGTGCTGTGTGGCTGCAGGACACTCACCAGCCCAGCTGGCTTTCTGCAGGCCAGGCGAGACTCCGACATCTGCAGACAGCAGCAGCAGGGCGGGGAAGGGGCCGGAATGTGGGCCTGGGGCTGGGCGATTGTTGGACATGTTGGGGTGGCTGGCCTGATGGGAGGGTGCCCGCCACTCACGCCACCCTCTGCTCACAGGTACATGGCCATCGTCCACCCCTTCCGGCCACGGCTCTCAGCCTGCGGCACCAAAGCGGTTATTGCTGGCATCTGGCTGGTGGCCCTGGCCCTCGCCTTCCCCCAGTGCTTCTACTCCACCATCACCATGGACCAGGGAGCCACCAAGTGCGTGGTGGCCTGGCCCGAAGACAGCGGCGGCAAGACGCTCCTCCTGTAAGTCCTCTGGGGCTGGGGGCAGACGGGGTGTATGTGTGCACACATTCATGTCCACGCATGTGTGGTGTGTGTGCAGAGTCCGTGAGTGTACATGGGATTGTGTGAGTATACCTATATACTACAAGTAACACTAAGTGCGGGCCTGTTCTAAGCACCTTACATAATTCTAATAATATGGGGTATGTATTAATATTATTCCCATTTTTCCGATGGAGAGATTGAGGCACAGGTAGTAAGTGGTAGAGCAAGGATTCAAATCCAGACAGTCCTCTTCAGAGTCCAATGTCCTAACCACTTTGCTACTTAAATCAGGAGACACATATATGTGCATGTGCCTGTCACATACACACACTACCCCCACTTATGCCTGTGTGCGCACGTGCAAGTATGTGTGTTTGTAGACGTGTGTGTGCACGGGCACGTGTTAGGGAATGTGTGCACAGGCACGTGTTAGGGAGTGTGTGCACAGCCATGTGTTAGGGAATGTGTGCACAGGCATGTGTTAGGGAATGTGTGCATAGGCGTGTGTTTGGGGGAGGGCTTTCTGTACACTCAGGACACAAAGGGTCAGGATATTGAGGAAGAAAGGGCCAGCGATGGAGCTAGGGATGTTTTCAGGAGGCTGCCTGGTGTCCGCTTCATGCTGAGGTGGGCGCCACGGCTGCGGGCAGAGAGGGAAGGGGCGGAAGGACTCGGGCACAGTCCAGCCACTCTGTGACCCTGGGCAAGTCCTTTCTCCATTCTGGGGCCCCATGTCTGAGGTTCTCACTGTGTGGCTTTGTGATGCCCCAGCAGCGCCGTGCTGCTTAGTAGAGCATAAAGAACGGACTGAGGTTTTGGAGTCAGTAGCCAGATTCGAGTCTTGGCCTGGCCCTTCCTGGCTGGGGGACCCTGATGCTCACTTATCTCTAAAGTGGGGACTTGTAACTGTACCTTGCCAAAGGGCTGTCGTGAGCATAAATAAGATAACGCACACGGAGCCCTCAGCATCACACCCGGCACGGAAGTGGTGCCCAGGATGTGGCAGTTTAAATAGGAGGCACAAGGAAACAAACCTGGAGGTGGCAGATTAGTCCGACAAAGTCGCAGCTGCCCCAAGCGTGAGGCTGTGCATGCTTCAAGCTGAGGGCTGCCAGGTAACCATGGCAGCACAGCCACCACCAGCCTCCTTTAACATCCCTCCCCCAAACCCTCCCCGACTTGGTCTTCATCTGTCCTGAGCACCTGCCAGGAGAGGGCCACTCTTGCTCTCATGGCCTTCAGTGCCAAAGGAGGTGCCATTCATCTGGAAAACCTGTTCCTGGGGACTAAGTCTCAAGAGCAGACCTCACCCGGGGTCTCTGCCCTCCCCCCCACCTAAGGTGGTATCCATGCAGGGAAGCGCCCCGCTTTCTGGCACAGGGAAGTATGGAGAGAAGAACATTTGGGGACTGGCCACTGGGGGGCAGTGTTTCTCCACCTTAACACTGGAGGGCTCCACGCCTGCTCTCTCGGACTGGAGTTCCAACCCGGATTCAGGCAACAGGCAAAGACAGGAGGGCAGGGAAAGCCATACTTTGATGCTACTTCAATGTTCTGAAAGGATCTGGGGACTTGTGGAAAGCCTGGTTTCATGTGTGAGAACGTGTCATTGCTTTTCTTAGGTCGGGGAGCATCTAGTTTAGATTTAAACTGGGGGCTCCATCCTCACAGGCTCACATCCTGTGTGTGCGCAGGAATCTGATGAGATCAAAGATGCCCTCTCCAGGAACACGTACACACACCCCCAAGATCAAAATACAAAAAAAGCAGTCCAGGCTGCGAGGGCAGCATCCCTGATTTTGGCAGGGTCTGGACGGTGACCCCCCAAAACTCCTTGGCTCTCCCTCTGCGTGGGGACCTAGCCCAGGGTGAATTCCTGTCCTGCACGATGGCCCTGGGAATGAGGCCACAGAGAAGTGCTGCTCGTACTAAGGAAGAATTTAGAGATTACCTCCTCCTTTTACAGATGGGGAAACTGAGGCTGAGGGAGAGACCTGACTTGTCCAAGATAATTAGACGCTGGACAAGAGCCCTGTTCTGACTCCCGCAGCTCTGACCCTCAGTGAAAGGAAAATTGGGCCTTGATTAAATCTGTACACTGTTTCATATGACACAGACTTCCTGTGCCTCAGTCTCCCCATCTGGACACTGATCCTCAAGGTCTTTGTAGTTCAGACACTCTGTAAGGTGACAGGGGCCTGGCACTCACTGCCCCTCGTCCCCTCTTATCTGCTCCACACTAGGGCTCTCGATCTAGATCCTACTTGAGAATCAGGGTGCCTAGGAGCCCCTAAACCTTTTGTAATTGTCACATTTGCCAAAAGCACACCAGTGGACTTCTGAACACGGTGCTTTAGGAAAGAGACTTACTGGAGCCACTTGCTCCTCTCCCTCGGGGGTGGCGACACATCTTGAAAGGCACCCAGCTAGGCAAGCAATGGGAGGTGGCAGGGGAGGGGACCTGGGAACACCTCAACCCTCCCAGTAAGAAAGAAAAAGGTGACATGACAGCCAGGGGCCTCAGGCCCATTCGCCAGATGCTCCAAGGGCTCCCGTTGCAGCCCTGCCTGGGAGTCAGCGCCCAGCCTGCAGCTCATAGGAGAGGATGCAGCAGCATCAGCCAGAAACCAGAGACAAGGGGCATGGGGAAGACACACCTCCTTTATGCTGTCTTTCCAAAAGGAAATGAAAAGCCCCAACACGACCCGGGTCCTCCCTGGGGACTGGGTAGGAAGTCATGCAGTGGTATTCCAGACCACTGGCTCAGAGGTGTATGAAAGAGCATTTGCCGGCGTGAAGGATGTTCCCAGCCAAACACGGATGAGCAGGAAGCAGATGACACAATGGCAGGCACAATATGGCAGCTTTCCACGCCCCGTTCCTTGGTAGAGATGTTGGCGCAGGATTGAGCCTTATTAACCGCTGTCATTCTGTCTCTCCAGACAGACAGATACAGATTATATATAGCATCCAATAGATATGTACACATACATACATCTATATACAAACACACACATACCTATTCAGTAGGGTACATTCCCAGACCCCCAGAGGATGCCCGAAACTTCTGATAGTGCTGAAACCTATGTATAGATTTTCCCCTATACACACACACACCAAAGATAAAGTTTACTTTATGAATCAGGCACAGTGAGAGGTTAACAATAGTAACTAATAATGAAACAGTTGTGACAATATGCTGTAATAATAGCTATGTGCATGAGGCATCTCTCTCTCAGAATATCTTATGTACTGTACTCACCCATTTTGGAAACACCGTTGACCTTGGGTAACAGAAACGGGAGAAACGAAACCTGGATAAGGAGTGACTACAGTTCATACATGATTCTGGAAGAAAATTTGTCAAATTGTTAATAGTGGTGGGAGTGGGATAAGTAATTTTCCTTCCTCCTTTGTGCTTAATGGTATTTTAAATTTTAAACAAACGTATTGCTTGGTTAACTTTTTTACTTCCAATTTATTTCTTTCTTGGCAAGTGTCTAACGCATGGAAAGGGGCGGGTCTCATGCTGGTGTCCCCCTTGCAGGGGAAGCCATATTTTGGCACATATGCTAGCCAGTGTTGCCTTTATTTTTCTTTACATCACACCAAGGCCTTGGGAGATGGCCTAGGGCGGGCCCCCAGGGGGCGGCTCCAGGGACATTGTCGACCGCCCACTGCGCGGGCCCCTGACTCTCCCTCCAGGTACCACCTCGTGGTGATCGCCCTCATCTACTTCCTGCCCCTCGTGGTGATGTTCGTCGCCTACAGCATCATCGGCCTCACGCTCTGGAGGCACGCAGTGCCCGGACACCAGGCGCACGGAGCCAACCTGCGCCACCTGCAGGCCAAGAAGAAGGTGGGCGCCGGGGCGGGGCCGGCCCAGGAGAAACTCGGGGAATTTGCCCTTGTGACAAGCGTGGGACCAGAGTCTGACCGCTTTCTTTCCAGCAGGTGGATTTGCCTTTGGTCTTTGGCCAAATACAAAGTTAAAGAACTTCCCAGGGTCGGGCGCGGTGGCTCACGCCTGTAATCCTAGCTCTCTGGGAGGCCGAAGCGGGCGGATTGTTTGAGCTCAGGAGTTCGAGACCAGCCTGAGCAAGAGCGAGACCTCGTCTCTACTAAAAATAGAAAGAAATTAATTGGACAATTAAAAATATATAGAAAAAACTAGCTGGGCATGGTGGCGTATGCCTGTAGTCCCAGCTACTCAGGAGGCTGAGGCAGGAGGATCGCTTGAGCCCAGGAGTTTGAGGTTGCTGTGAGCTAGGCTGACGCCATGGCACTCTAGCCAGGGCAACACAGTGAGACTCTGTCTCAAAAAAAAAAAAAAAAACTTCCCAGAATGTTAGAGGAATTGGGGACTCTTAAGGCCCCACAAAATTTCAGATACCTCCAAGAATCTTAGAATGACAAAATATTAAAATCTTAGACTTTTTGAATAATCAAAATGTTGAGGCCGGGTGCAGTGGCTCACACCTGTAATCCTAGCACGCTGGGTGGCCAACGTGGTCAGGAGTTCGAGCCCAGCCTGAGCAAGAGCAAGACCCCCATCTCTACTAAAAATCGAAAAAATTAGCCGGGCATGGTGGCGGGCGCCTGTAGTCCCAGCTACTCGAGGGGCTGAGGCAGGAGGATCGCTTGAGCCCAGGAGGTTGCTGTGAGCTAGGCTGACACCATGGCACCTGAACACCATGGCACCTGATATTAGGCATTTTTCACAGGGCAGTTCAAGGGAGGTAGCTGGATATGGGACACCATCTGAGTGTCCCCTCTCATGGAGAGCTGGCATCCACCTGCCATCCCTGGCCTGCCCTTCATCTGCTCCACACCAGGGCTCTCCACCCCGGTCCTTGCAAGAGGATTGGGGTGTGTAGGAGCCCCCAACCCTTTTGTGACTGGCACGCTGGGCAGTGCAGGAGGGCGCCTGCAGAGGACAGCTGTGAGGTCGTGGAGCTGGCCCTGGGCAGAGGCTGCGGTCCCTGGCTGGAGCCCCACTGCCCACGGGTAGAAGGGCTGTGACGGACACAGATCCCAGAGAGAAGGAGGCCTGGGAACCCACAGCAGGCACAGGGCTCCCCAAGGACAGGGTTAGCAGTAGGAGTCCTGCCCATCTCCAGGCGGGGAGAGCTTCTGTGAATGAAAGGATCCAAGTCACTTTTGGGGGGAGGTGGCCATTGAGCTGGCCTTTGGGGAGTGAGGACTTCAAAGGAAGGACAGCAGGGTGGGCGGGGGGAGGGAGACCCAAGCAAAGGCCCTGGGGGTGGAGGGCTCAGGAACACTGGGGAAACAGATGCTCCAGGGCACTGGGGTAGGAGGAGGAGGGCTCTGAAGGTGGAGGGCTACCCAGGCTGGCGCCAGGGGTGCCTGCACCCACCCCCCAGGGTTGGGGCTTGCGGTTCAGGGACTGAGGAGTAACCTGAGCCTCCCTCGGACCAGTTTGTGAAGACCATGGTGCTGGTGGTGGTGACATTCGCCGTCTGCTGGCTGCCCTACCACCTCTACTTCATCCTGGGCAGCTTCCAAAAGGACATCTACTGCCACAAGTTCATCCAGCAGGTCTACCTGGCACTCTTCTGGCTGGCCATGAGCTCCACCATGTACAACCCCATCATCTACTGCTGCCTCAACGGCAGGTGAGGCCCGTCCTGACCCCTGCCCTGCCCCCGGGCCCCACAGGAGCCCCCCTGCACAGCTCAAGCCTGTAGCTCGCTCCCAACTGAGCCTGTGGCCCCTGCCCCCTCCCCAGCCGGGAATGCCGTCGCAGTCAGCCCACAGCACTGTCCTCCCTCCGGCCTGGGCCTAGCTTGAGCCCCATCTGCTCCCCAAAAGCTTGCCTCATCACCCGGGCCATAGCTCTCAACATCTGTCTGTTCCTGCTGGCTCTTCTGGGGTCTACATCTGGGACAAGGAGAAGAGGGGAGGGCCAGCGAGATGGAGGGAAGGGGAGAGTCAGAGAGAGGCAACAGGGCAGACAGGGAGGAAGGAAAGAGCCAGGCAAGGAGGGAGGGACTGACCTCTGTCCTAATATTTTTACAAGCTTCCTACTGAGGCCTTTCCTGGGCGGGAGAAGCACCCCTAGGAGGCTGGGGCCAGCCCTGGGGTGGGGCAGGCTGCGCCCTGGGAGGATCAGTGTGTTTCCTGTCCTCGAGAGGCTTCCGGGGCAGCTGGGAAGTGACCTCGGCAGAGACAGCCAAGGAGCAGCGACCAGGATCTCACTCCTCTCTCTGACATCATCGAGTTTCCTTGGCCCATATACTTCTGGAGTTCAGAGAGGGGCCCGCAAGGAGTGCGTGGGATTTAGCTGGTGGGCACAGGGCTTGCAGCTCTACCTTTGAGCAAAGACTTGAAGCACTGAGCCGGCCACGCTCGGTCTGGGCAAGAGGTCCAGGCATGGGGAACAGCTAAAGCAGCAGCCCTGTGGTCAAGGTAAGGACTGGGCCTTGTGCTCAGACGTAGGGAGCCGCCCCCGGCTCTGACTTACCTTTCAAAATAACCAGTCCAGCAGCTGCGCAGGAGCTGGGCCATAGCGGGGAGGCGAGAAGCCCGGAGATGGCTTCCGGGAGGCCAGGGCAGTAATCCCAGGGAGAGGGGGTGGTTTAGACCGTGGCCAGAGTCTGCATGCGGCTAAAGCAGAGCCAACAGAATTTGCTGGAGGTGAGGTAGCTCGTGAGAGGAAGTCAAGGTTCGTGAGAGGAGTCAGGTTCTTGACTCCCAAGAACCTGTTGTTGGGACACTTGGAAGGATGGCGCGGTCAGTTGTCAGGAGCAGAGATGGGAAGCCTGCAGGGGAGGGGCCACGCTGGCTGGGGGAGGGGAGGGTGACTGGGAGCTTGGGTTGGGACAAGTTGAGTGTGGGCATAAGGTAGAGGCCACTGAACCCACAAATACAAACTTGTTGGGCCACAGCATGGAGTCCTGGGGAGCTACAAGGCAAGAATCCAAAGTAAGGTGGGCTCTTCTGCAACATGGAACCCTGCACCGCCCAGGAAGAGACAATACGGTTCCTTTCCCCGCTGTCGGTTTGCACAGGGTCTCATTTCTTTCTCCCCATCTCTGAGCAGCCAGTGTTCTCCTTCCGCCAACCATTTCCTCACTCGCCCTGTCTGCTGCCTCTCAACTCCGGTCCACACACAGACCTTCGGTGCTGCCATGGGAAGCTGTTCATTTTTTAAGCAAATGTGCCAAAACTTGGTAGTTCCAAATGTGAGTTCTCTTTCAGAGCAGTTTCCTTGGGGCAGCATCCTTCTGCCCCCAAGCCCGCTGAAACCCGTGTTTTTAAGCAGACTCTTCCTTGAATCTTCCTTTAGTAGCCAGTTAACAAGTCAAACAAGAAAATCTGCTGTTTCTTTATAACAATATTTGGTTTTTTTTAAAAATAATACCAAGTAGTCTGATTCAATTTAATCACCCACTTCAGAACACTTTTGCTGTTTCCAAGAATCCAGTTCACTAAAGAATGCATCTCTCCAGAGCCCCTGAGCCACGGTGGGCTCTGCGAAGTGAGGCGGGGCACTTCGGAGAAGGTGTCCTGGGGGTGGGAGCAGCGACATGACAGCCGCTGGACTCCGACGCCCTTGCTCAAAGTGACCCTCCATCCCCAGGTTCCGATCTGGATTCCGGCTTGCTTTCCGTTGCTGCCCCTGGGTCACGCCCACCGAGGAAGACAAGCTTGAGCTGACTCACACTCCGTCCCTCTCCATGAGGGTCAACAGGTGTCACACTAAAGAGACTTTGTTCATGGCCGGGGACGTGGCCCCCTCCGAGGCTACCAACGAGGAGGCTGGGGGTCCCCAAGATGGGATGCTGCTGTGGTCTGGATATGGTTGGTCTGTCCCCACCAAAACTTATGTTGAAACTTGATCCCCCCTGTGGCAGCACTGGGAGGTGGGACCCAGTGAGAGGTGTCTGGATCAGGGGAGCAGATCCCCCAGGAATAGATTAGTGCCCTGCAGCGTTAGGTGAGTTCTCGCTCTGGTGGTAATGGATTAGTTCCCAAAATAGGTTGTTAAAAGAGAGACTGGCTTCCTCAGTTTCCCTCTCTCACTTCCTCTCTCACCATGTGATCCCGGCACAACCCACTCCCCTTCCGCTTCTGCCACGAATGGAAGCAGCCTGGGGTCCTCACCAGATGCAGCTACCCAATCCTGGATTTTCCAGCCAGAATCATGAGCCAAATAAATCTCTCTTCTTTATACGCTACCCAGTATCATGTTTTAGCAACACCAAGGGGACTAAGACAGATGACTATTGAACCCTGACGCCTTGTGTCTGGCTGCAGGACGAGGCCCAGCACCCTTTGAGAAGTAGCCAGTCAAGAGTATCAGATCTGAAAGTGTGGCCCATGCCCCACCCTTCGATACACCAATGGAAAAAACAAATGGGGCCGGGAACTCAACAAAGGATGCGGACTCCAAGAGGACTCAGCCGCCCGTCTCAGGGAGGACTTGAAGGCATCCAACAAGAGTCAGAAAAGACAGTATGAGCTGATATTTATCTACTCTAGGAGCTGCTCATTCAAACGCCTCCCTGGGGCGTACGACTTCCAATGAGTACATTGGATCGAGTATGAAAGAAAGACTGTAAATGTGACGACAGAAGGCAACCACTTCCAGTCTCAGAGGTGAGGTACCAGGGAATGGTGGGGACTGTGGCAAACCAGAGGGGACAGGCATCCAAAGGGCACAGCAGCTGCTCAGCTCTGGACAAATGCTGCCATGTGGTAAGGGCAGCCTGTTGTTGCCAGATCTAAATCTTTGAAGAGAAGCTGTTAATCCAAATTTGTGAGACCTCCAGATTTGTTAAATTTGGCTCACATTTTTATAAATTTTGGGTAAGCTGAACAAAACATACCTGTGGGCAGTATGAAACCGTGACACTGACTCATTATCAGGCGGAAGACAAGGAAAGCAGCTTTTTTGTTTCACAAAGCCCAACAGCTGAGTCAGCCCAGGGCTTCTCTGTCTCAACATCTAAGAAGTCAGATGCAGATGGTGATTAAGAGTCAAAAGTAAGCTGTATTTCCTCAGCCAAGTCACTCTGACCTTCAGCATCTTCTTCAGCCCAATCCTTCACAGGGATGCTGTGAGGATCAATGGCAGTGATGTCTATAAACCAGCAGGGCAGACCAGATGAAGTGCTCAATAAACGATAGACGTGACTTTCATTACTGCTACACCGGCCATTTTACACAAAAGCCACCTAACAAAACAGCAATGCAGCTCCTACCCTCACTTCTGCAACAAGAAGCTGGTGGGCAGAGAACATTTTCTTTCCAACTCCCAGAAAGCTCCAGGCCTGGCCCAGTCCTCGCCAACAGTGCACCTCTCCCTGCCTGCCGACTCACCCTCCACACCCCAGTGCCCCTCCAGAAGAACCACGTAACAACACTATCTACACACATCGAAAAGTTTAGTATCTGTGTTCTCCACAAAAACCACTGTGTCAGACACTGGTACCACCATGCCCCAAATAAAGGGACTCTGATCTCACCCATCCAAGTGGGCAAGCAGGCGGGCCTGGGGGAAGCCACTTAGAGCTGCAGTCATGCCTTGGGACATCTCGGGGCACCTGGATGCAGACTGATGTGGGGTCCATCAAAATGGACCCCAAAATGGCAGCCAGGAGACAGCCAGCAATCTCGAGGTGGGGGAGGGGGAAGGTCAAAGGGGTCAGATAGTTCAAGTTCGGGAGAGTGCAGCAAGCCTACTACCCTGGGTGCTTTAAGACATCGTCTGTGCCAGGGCAGGAGGCACACGTCATCCGCTGTCTCAGGGTCAGCGGCGGGTGGGGGACAACATTGCAGTGTCCTCTCATTGAACCCAAGAGACTTTTTCTTTGTCTCTGTCCCAGCTACGACTGAGCAGGACAGAGTCCTTCCATTCTTTACCCTCTTAAAGGCGCTGGCGTGGAAGCTGCAGGAGCCTCTCCATGGAGTGGGACCCGGGACTCGGGCAGGGACCCAGCAGGGCAGGTAGTGGAGATACGGCAAGAGGCTGCTTCTGTGACATTCTGCAGGGAGGGCACAGAAGTCCTCGTGCCAAACCAAGGCTGCCAGTTGAAGATGATACTCTTTATTTTAAACTCTCTCCCCCACCCAGAAGGCCACGAGAACCCCCAGCATTTGGTCTTTGCCATGTCCAAGATAGCCTCCCCCTCCCCAGCCACGAAGCACCACTCGGGTCTTTGAATTGGTACAAAGTTTACTAGATCATACAACATGGCTCACAAAAGCGATGGGAACTTCCGATGATGACGTAGGTTGTTGGTTGGTTCCTTTTACCAAATGGAGACAAGACATTTTCCCTCAGGACTGCCCACCTCCCCCCACGAGACAAACAGAATGCAAGACTGTCACACGTGGCTAGGACTGGTTCCACGGACACACGATTCAGCGGCATTGACGCATCCCAGTGGGATGCCAGGCCGCGGTGGGTGCTGGGACGGGAGGAAGCGGCTAATGCTATGTCCACACTTGCCTTCAGGCCATGCCCCTGGGAGGGGTCCCGGCAGTGTCTGCTGGTGATAATACTTTTCACACGGGAGGGGGGTGACCCCAAGGACGGGCTTCAGAGGCCCAGAAGGCCTGTCAGGTGGTGTGACTTTCCATCTCGAGCCAATAAATAACTCCGCTGGATGAATGCACACAGCAGAAACGGATGCCACTACACGTCACACGTGGGGACCAGGTCGAAATCAAATCATGCAGAGTGGCAGGGCAGGTGAGAAGGGATCCAGGTGAGAGATATTATCAACAGCACACACTCTATTTTGTACCCTACATTACGCGCCATTAGTTGGATTTTGTTTTCCTCCCCGCTGTGGCCAAGGCGGGCTCAGGCGCCGGCGTCTCCCAGCACAGCTCACTGGGAGGGGCAGGGGTCGCCGCTCAAAGAGAGAAGTGCTGTAGGGACAGCAGGCTGGGGATCCTGGGCTCTTAGCTGCTCGTTTCTCCGCGTAACCGCACACCCACGGCCGTGATGAGGGCGGCCCCCTTGCCACTGCCGTCCTCAGACAGGAGGAAGGACACGTTACACTTTGGCGACAGTTCCTTCACGGTTTGGTGCATGATTCTGGAGAAGCTGAAAAGGACAAAAAACAGAGGAGAAGGTAGGTAGAGGAAGACGAGAAGGGAAGCTGGGCCTACCTGAAAGCACTGAAGCATAGACGGCCCTGACTTGTGAGGGCTGATTTAGGATTTTTTCAATGTTGCGGTGGGTTTATGGGGGCAAAAGCCCATGGTAGGTGGAGGCCTCTGTACCCAGCAATAAGGGAAGGGAGCAAGGTGGGAGGGAGGAGAACAGGCTTCCAGCAAGCCCATCATCACGTTCTCAGCAGGAGCCCCACGTTCTGTGTGGCTTCCACAAATAACACACTCACAAGTCCCCACCCTCGGAGCCTGGGGCTCTGAGGGACCTGGAAACCAAGAAGGACGCCAGGGCCTGTATCTGGACGAGCAGGCAGGCCTGAGCGGCTCACGCTCTGGATCGGTCCAGAAGGCCACACAGGAGCAACCATTACCCACCCCCAGCTGCGGCCCGCTGAGGCCCCCAGCCCACCCCCATCAACAGCCCGGCACCCAAAGAGCCCTCCAGTGGCGGGTAGTCTGCAAATGAGAGGTGACTCGAGGTGCTTGCATTTTGTGCTGAAAATGAAAGACCAGGCCAGGCTGCGGATACTTGAGGTGAGGGGTTCTCAGAAGTAATGACAGCCCTTTTTTGAGCTCCTACTGGGTGCCCCATACTTCAGAGACCTAATTTCTAGTCCTGCCAGTGGTGGTCATCCATGAGGAAGATGAGATTTTGCAGAGATTAAACAACTGCACACAGCTTCTAAATGACAGTGCCAGGATTAAATCCAAGAGTATATGGCTCCAAAGCCCGGCCCTAAACCATGCTCCTGTGCTGCTCACATAATGGCGAGGACAGCTAATGCGGTGGGGAGACAGGTGAGGACAGAGCAAGAGAGACGGTCCTACCCCAGGCCACGGGCTCGAGGTAAACAGGTGATGTCTACGTCGAGTTGGGTAAGTTTGCTTGTAAGTAGGGCAACGCTGTGGCCTAGTTTATCTGGGATGGTCCCAGTTTGCCTACAGTCTCAGAGTAATTATTAGTAGCACCCTTTTCACTGGCAAAAGTACTGCAGTTTAGACAATAAGCAATATGGTTACTCTGTTCATAAGAAACAAGATTCGAGACATGCAGTGGATCAAACAGCAGATGGGCTCACACGTCTGGCATGGGGTGTTAGACATGCGACCAAAAGGAGGCCACTCCCTCTCCTCCCAGCCACAAAGCCCAGGGCCAAACTGCTCCTGCCCTTCCAAGACTTGGCAAACCCTGATTCCGCAGGTGAACAAGACAATAGTTCTCTTCCGCCTTTCTTACTATCCCTCCCCACTTACCAAACACGGCCTCTGGCCTGGCCGCAGTTAACCAGGCTGATGGGCAAGCCCCTGGCCACCCTTACTTCCTCTCCCACTCCCCACTCCCCATCTAAGAGGGGACCAAGAGGCACAGAACAAGGGTCATGCCATGCCGCTGGCGAAGGCTGGCCAAGGGAAGCTACTTCTCTGCCTCGCTAAGGGTGCCAGTCAACCCCCAGAGGGGTTCTATACCTCGTCCCAGACAAGCCCCGGCCCCCTGGACACACAGCCTCCAGCTGGCTGTGCCCTAGGGAGGAAGTTCCCTGGTGGGACCCATACCCCGATTCCCCATAACCCTAAAGGGCTCCTCCCCTCCCACTGGAAGGCCCACTCACTGCGGATGAAGCTTGTAGAGCGTCCCGTCCACTCCCACGGTCACACTCAGACGGTCCAGCCCTCTGTTCTCGCGGATCTTATCCACCACAGCGGCCATGCCTGCGCCACACAGCTGCGCAGCCCTCCTGGACA